GTCCGTAAAAGAAAATTGCGATTCGGAACGTCGTGTGAATCGGCTATAACCGTGCCCTACAACGATATACATGCTAGCCTTGTTGTGAGCAATCATTGTCGAGCACGGATATCGAAGTGCGAAACACAATAGGAAGTTTTCGTACGTCGGTTTCGCCGTCCCGCAACGCTCTCCGCAACGATACCCGGAACTCTACAGTCAAGGCTACCAACGCGCAGACGCAGCAGCGGCTTCTTCGTTGAGGAGGACTTAGCGGAAAGGGGGCAACGCGGTTTACGAAAACTCCCTAATGTTAGGGATTTTTCGTAAACGCCCTATTATTGGGGAGTTTATGGCACTCACTAATATTAGGGAGTTGCATGCCACTCCCTAATATTAGGGAGTGGCATGCTAGCATTGCCTGCAAGGTTAGCGCCGCGCGTGCGCAGTAGTGGCGTCTTCGTTCTAGAGAGCGTATTGCAGGTGTAAAAAGTAAAACTGCCTACGAAGACTCCCTATTCTATTGTGGAGTTTAGCCTGTCGTGTTATCGTTCAACCTTGCTTGTTTCAGTACTATAAACCTTTTTCACAAGGGCGCCACCATCTTGAAATATCGTCACTTCCAGTATGGGCAAAAACATTGCTTTACCGTCACCACGCCAATAGAATGCATTTCGAAAGTAATCATAACCCATTCTCGTTTTGTCTCCCTTCTATTTTTTTACTATATGCAGATTCAAATGTTTTATTATTTTTAAGCCGCCCATACCGGCTATGCCTAGTTCGCACCTGGGAGCGAGAGTACGCCAAAAATTTTTATAGCACGGGCTGCCACTTCAAAGTATTCTTCGGGGTCTTCAAGAAACTAAAGCAAAAGCAGCCCTTTTTTAACATGTCACGGGACTGTAATTTGACATTGTAAAAGCATTATAGGTACACTCCTCCACGCAGTTAGCACCAACAAAGTAGCGCCGGTTTTTCCCGTTTTTGATTTCTTCTTAGAAGTTAATAATGTTTAAAAAAACTTACGTGCGAGTACCCAACCTAAGCAGTAGATCTTGGTGCTAGACAGTACTTACATTGCTGGGAAAAATAGCAAAAAGTGCTGATGTTGTGTTCGCGCTAAGAGTGTCGCGTAATGTATGCATACCTGTACATGATCAAAGTAAATAAATGAGCTTATTAGACAAGGAAAATTGTTTTTTCCATAGCTGGAAAGTTATTTCTATACAAGCGATTCTGCAAAGAGTGTCAAATCACTTGACGTAGATAATAACTCTAAAGAAGCAGTGTAAGAGCGTACATGCAAAATGTATATCTGACGTAATGGAGGTTTTGTTCAAATGTTCTAGGAACAAACTTGTCTCTTAGTCTGCATGACACAGCTAGCGCAAACATAAAATCGACATTGTAATGCAAGGGTCAAGAAGATTTTAGTGTAGAGGAACAAATTGTAGCAATGTAAGCTCATGACCAATAGCAGCACTCTTTGCCGAATCGCTCGTATAGAAATGACAAATTCCAACTATAAAAAGAAACAAATTTTTTCGCTAATACATTTACTCTACTTGCACTGATAGTGTAACGGTATTCGCACATTACACCGCACTATTAGAGCGAACAAGACAGCGGCGCTTTTTTGCTTTTTTTTTTTTCTCCAGCTATGTAATGACTATAGTTCTAAGGTCTACCACTTAAGTTGGATACTCGCATTAAAAGTTTTACAAACATCATTCACAACTCACAAAAAACTAACGAGAAATATCGCCAATATTTTGTTCGGGCAAACTTTGTGGTGCAGTGTACCCATGTTTTTAAAATGTCAAATTACGTTCCTGTGTCATGCTAAAAAAAAAGAGCTTCAAAGAATTATTTGGAGTGGCAGCCCGTGCTATAGCACCGATACAAGCAACGTTGAACGATAACAAAACACGCTAAGCTCGCCAATATTGCGTTTTACGCTCCGATAGCCGTGCTCAATGAAGAATGCTCGCAGCAAGCGCTTATAGTGTCACGAATGGCAAAGCATGAGGCGGTGAGTTAACTGGAGAAACCGAACGTTTAATGGGGCGAACTTGTGCCCAAAATAAAGTAGAAGAACGTTAGCGTCGCAGGCATCGATGTCGACGACACAGCAAGATCGAGCGCCGGTGCGAAACTGGTTTTGGCTCGCCACGGCGAAGCCCCTTATGTACACGCGTGGGCTTCTGGAATAATCGGCGTAGAAGGTTTGACGCATAGAACATTCGGACCGAGAATAAACAACAATGTTCTCGAATTCACCAGAATCAGAAACTTACAGAAATAACAAGAAGAGGCGTCCGCTCCCGGGCATCGAACCTCGAGCCTTTTGCGAAGGAGCCAAGGACAATTACCATTCAGCCACGGGCGCGCTTGCTTGCAGACGCAAGTGGCAATATATCGCTGTGAAGTAGGATTATCGGAGAGCTAAAAACCATCCTCTAAAACTTCCCTAATATCGACACTCACCCTTGCTGCTCTTTCAACTCATGTGGTTGTTAGGATGTGTAAATATATATTTCATCCCCTTGCTGCCCTTTCCACTGATGTGGTTGTTAGGATGTGTAAATATAAATTTCATCCACATTTCCTTGGCTATCATATCCTGCGAGTAAGGCACAGAATAATTTGAGCACACTGTACGAAAATAGAGATCCGCTAAAATGCCCTGGCTTGGTACACATTTATCTTTTCCATCGTTCCCCATTTGAGGCAGGTCTGAGCGTGATAGGCTGGCGTTTTGAGGGTGCTGAATGTTTTATGAACATGCAAATAATCTTTACATACTCAAACTGCCACATCATCGCGCATGCGTTCTGCACTCCTTATTTGAAAAACCGACAATAAGTATGAAAAGTATGTTAAATTGGGGGGGGGGGGGGGGGGGGGGTTGTGGGGATGCATCGCAGCTTTCCAGTAAGCGTTTACTTTGCCCCAGGCTACAGCCAAACAATTTTGACAGCTCAAATGGGTGTCTGCTATGGCGCAGCCTTCCAGCTTTGTAAAACATTCACTCGGAGGGTTAGTCTCTGCGAGGGGCCAAAAAGCTTGCTTATCCTAGGCTTATCCTCTCAGAAAAAGCCAAAACAAAAGGGAACCCCCCACCCAACCCTCCTCCAATTGCTCCACATCGACACTTCGGGTCTCCCCCCCCCCCCTCCCCCCTCCCCCACCACCCTGGTCCTACCTCCCACAGATCATGCTCGATCCCCTCCCCAAACATATAGACTCCAAATCTCACACTAAGCGACGCGAGCACAGAACACAGTGCCTCAACAAACAGCGTCAAGCCCTCTCACAAGACGGCCATGTCGTCATCTACACCGACACCCACTTCAACCCCCGCGAACTCAAAGCACGCACCGCCCTCTACTCCTTGCAAATACCTGTCTCCCAAACACAAAACTACACTGACATCCCCTCCGCCTCTCATGCTGAAACCCAAGCAATTGCTGATGCCATCAAGCTCCTCTCCACACTTTCCCCCTTCCCCTTCAACACATCATCGTAACCGATTTGCAGCAAAGCATCCGAAACCTACACACATTAGCTATCCATCCATTTTCCCTATCCACCATAACTACCGCCCTCGACCTGATGTCCCAAATGTCCCTCCGCATTATCTGGGCACCTGTCCATGGAGCCATCGCAGGTAACGTTCGAGCAAACGCGCTCGCCCAAGTTGATTTCACTCCGAGGCCTGCGATCTCCTGACCAACCCAGTATTTCCCTAAGGACAAAAAATGTGCCCTCCGTCACTCCTGAAAACAAAACATGCATCGCCTCCTCCTCTCTAAGTCACCCCTCCCTGCCCCATCCCGCTCCCTCTCTCGTTCGCGGTCTGCCACGCTACGACAGGCCCAAACCGACTCTCTCCCAACCCCACGCATTATACACCGTATACTCAACCTACCAGAGCACCCCTCCTGCTCTGCCTGCAGAGGTTACCCAAACGATGAACACGTCTTCTGTAACTGTCCACGTTCCCAATCCTTCCTCTCCCTACACCCCCCACACTCTCCCCACCCCCACCACCTGGAAGGAATGGCTCACTCACCCCTACATAGCCCTTCACCACAGACACGCCTCGCCACAGACACCCCTACATAGCCCTTCACACTTTAAAACCGGAATTTGCACAATAAAGACGTTTCTCTCTCTCCCCCCCCCTCGCCTCACCATGCAGTTAGGCAAGAGGGAAACGGTAAAAAAGAGGGCGAGGAGGACTTTCCGCGAGGCGGTAGAATATTTCTGCAGGTCCCCCTTTAAGAAAGGTTTTCGTCTAGCCCGTTTAAGGACGCCATAAAACAAACGAGGCATGCACGCCTTGCAAACAAGCGAGGCAAACTTGTTTGCCTCGCAAACAAGCGAGACAATCAAGCGAGGCAACCTAACAAATGCTCCGTAAAACTGAATGACAGCAATCGAACACGGTTCACAATAATATGAATATGAAGTGAGTATTCTTAGGGCTTTAAAGTTGCACATACTTATTTTTACGAACTCCACGTATCCTTAAATAAAAAAATTCGAAAAAACAGAAATTCATTTGTCGTGGTTATTGTTCTTGGAGTTCACTTTCGAATCGCAAAAATTCTCACCGCTCAGCTTGGAAATGTAATAAAAGTCAAAGTACATCTTAAGTGAGGTTTCCTTCTAGCCCGTTTAATGACGCAACAAAACAAGTGAGGCAAGCCAGTGGAGAACTTAACAAAAGCTCCGGAAAACAAAATGACAGCATTCGAACACGCATCACAATCATGTGAATATGAAATGTCTATTCATGGGGCTTGCAGGTCGCAGATATTTAGTTTTACGGATTCAGTGTATCCTTGACTGATGAACAAGTTACGAGCACCTACAAAATATACGTGGGTATGCCTCGTTTCATTGGCCGAATATTCCGAAGGTTTCTACGATCGAAGAAGCCAATTGTTGATGAATGAATAAATACACACAATAAGGAACGTGTAAACACAGACGAAAGTACAGTTTCCATGATGCTTGCAGGAAAGGTTTTCCTCATCTTGTTCGTTCTGCTAGCGGGGGATAGCGAATGCTGTACTGAAGATAGCGACATGAAGCTCGTCCGAGCCCAGAACCATTTTGCCCTCAAGCTTCTCAAGGAACTGTCCAGCGAAGCGCCGGAATCGAACCTCTTCTTCTCTCCGACAAGCATCTCCGTCGCACTCGCCATGGTCTACGCCGGAGCCAGGGGCAAGTCCGAAGCGGAACTTTCCACTGCTCTCGGCCACACCGCAGCGGGACTGTCCAGCAGAGAGTCCATACTGGCGTCTTACAAAACGATTCTGGCACAACAGCAGACTGATGACAATGTAAGTGTGATGATAGCCAATGCAGTCTTTGTGCAGAAGAACCTGAAAGTCCTTGAAAGCTACCAGAAGGAGCTCGTTGACACCTTTGCGGCAATGTTCCGGTCGGTGGACGTTGGGACAGAAAAGTCTGTCATGGAATCCGAGGTTAACCAGTGGGTTAAGAACAAGACCAGAGGCAAGATCTCGGGCTTCAAAATTCCCGCAAACACCATAATGGCGCTTCTCAATGCCATTTACTTCAAGGGGCTATGGGAGACCCCTTTCCATCTCAACAATACAGTCCCCCTTAACTTTTACAACAAAGGATCTAAAAAAATTAAGGTAGAATTCATGCAGAGATGCGGTAATGTACCAATCAGCTTTGGACCCAACTATGCAGCGATAGAACTGTCTTACAAAGGAGACAAACACGGCATGGTAATCGTGTTTCCATATAAAATAATAGGACTTCCCAAACTACAAGACGCCATGACTCTCGAGACCATAGAAAGAATTCGGGGAAGTTTGAAAAGCGAGGCTGTCTGGGTTCGCCTTCCTAAGTTCGACTTGAAAACGGAGTACGGCCTCATCCCTGCCCTGAAAAAGTTGGGTGTGCGTTCGATCTTCTCCCACGCCGATCTGTCCGGAATCACTGGCGACAGAGGGCTTTGGGTAACTGAGGTCCAGCACAAGGCAGCCATCGAGGTCAATGAAGAAGGCATGGGTGTTAGCGCCCCAATGAAACTGGAAAATGAAGGACGCTTTCCAACACCCTTCCCCGTGAATAGCCCTTTCCTCTTCTACATCCACGAGAAGGCAACCGGCCGTGTGCTATTTTTGGGAGCAGTGCACGAACTCCCAGTAGCTAAGGTGAAACCCGCCCTTCGTTAGTGCAATTCTGACCCAACAGGTGGCGATGGGGTCGCCTTCCAGACCCATGCACGAATGAAATAAATCGCGTGCGGTGGCACTTTGATACAGTTTGGTATGCTTCTTTACTTTTCTCATGAAATTGACATCCCTAGCCGTTCACTTCTTTCTCTGTGCACGAGGTTTCTCGGGAACGCGGCCCCGCTGTATCTGTTCTCGAGCAAAGGAGCAGCTGCCTACGCTATGAGCTTGCGTCTCCAGGATATGTGGTCTGAACAAAATGTGAAAATCGTCCTGGTCTAATGGCGACTCTAATCCTAGTCCTTTAGTCCCTTAAGAGGGGGACTACGACCCAGAAAAAACAATTTCTGCAAAAAAAGATGACAGAAAAAATGCCATACTTACATTCACCAACATTAGCGAGTATTCACAGGAAGTTTCACTAGTCTACATTACATAGTTAATTTTTTATAAATTATTTTCGGTCCTCTGATGCTAAAGAAAAGGTATGGGTGTGAGCGCTTTGAACGCATTTTGCTCCGTTCCATTTTTTGGCATAAATTTCACTTTAGGAAAACTATCGTTTTTCTATTACGCAATAGAGAATTATTCTTAGGTGGTTTTCTGGGATATAATTTTGCGAGGAACATGCCTGACTGGTTTGTTTTTCTAATTCAACATTCTTTTATGCTAAAAAAAACTACATCTATAAAAAAGCGCAGACATGAAAAAACATTGTAATCTTCTTATGAGGTTATAATTATGAAAAGCAATGCAATATAGCAAAATAACTAGCTGGGTATGTGCTACAGGTATTCCTATAATTATATTAGATATAAAACCACAAATTTTTATTTTATTTTATAACGGTAGTCTTTCTAAGCGAACACACTGATTTCAATATTGTAACATTCATAACAAGTTTCAGAACTGACATAGGACAATGAAATTTGGCAAGGATGGCCTTGCCACTTATGAACTTCCACTGCAAATTTGATTGTAACCAAGCAAGCGGTACAGAAGTTGACTTCTCTGGGCTCTTTTCTGGGCAGCTGTGGTATGCTTGCAGCCTCGCGCTTGTTATTTTAACATCTCCAGCTCGCTCACTGCGGGCATTCGGGCATCTGACACCCACACGCCTGGTGCCATTTCTGTTTCTCTCGTGTAGTTCCAAGCGTGGCACATGAATAGAAGTGCAAATCAAGCTATTCTTGAACACGTGTCGCCATCTGTGATTGATATTAGAAAACTGCACCCTACCGTAACTTAATGGGAAAAGTCTGGAATTGAAACTGAACTTCACTTGTAATCTATCGATATGCAGTGTCTGCATATCTATCGAAATGCAGAAACTGCATATCCACTAAAGTATGAATCGTAAAGATGCTTCATACTTGAATGTCTTGTTAGTTTCGTTAGTTTATGTGATTCCATTTTCATTTCATGAAAAATAATAGTATTTTAAATTGTATTTTTTATTTAAAACTTGCATTTTCTCTATAGCTCATTGCTTACTATTTTAATTCACAATATCCAGCAAACCGCTCATGTTAATTATCGTGGACATTAGGACTTTATAAGTCGAGAAAACAACAGTTCAATATCAGAAATTGTGGTCTATTAGAAGTTAAATAATGAACTAACAACTAAAAATAAATGTAGTATGGAGACATGATTACATCGTTAAGAAATATTTATTTAATTTAAAATTAACTTCATGAATGTAGAATACATGAAAAGAAAGTTATAAACCGCCAAAAATGAAGCCAAACGGTATGCATGGTGAGGTTGCACCTTAAATAAAAAGCACTCTGTTGTTTTTGGGCTTACGAAAATATTTGATATAAACGCATCATGTCGTTCAGCAATGGTAGAGGAAATTACCTACGTTAAAGCGCAACCCCGCTTAAATCAGAAAATTTCGGGATAATGACTGATTTTACATTAAATGGCACTAACAAAAGGCACCATGTTTTGGGCTTCGCAAAAAATGGGATATATATTGTTCGATCTTACATTAAAGATGAGCAGAAAGCTAAACCGAAACTTTGGCTCCGTCTGGCGACATTGGCCTCGAGCTACCGAGAACATGGCTATCACGTGGAACAAGACGTCACGTGAACCGTTATGCAACGACGGGTGGGATTAGGGCAGGTGGGCGCCAGGCGCAAGTGTTGTCTGCACTGCACTCATCAGAATGTTTTGGCGTCTACGACATTCGACGACGCCTGCGCAAGTGCGACATCAGTCTGAGCACATAATGTGAACGAAACTACGAGAGACAACAGTCCCAAACGATGGCATGATAACAACGGTTGTGACGCGGGAGGCGGCAGTACGGCTGGACGGCTCCAAAGAAGCGCGCTGCACAGGTGAGTTCCGGCAATCACATGGACACTGCTGAGCGCTTAAAGGGAACGCTGCTGATGTCACCCAATACGCTTTCCCGGAGAAGGTCATCACTACTGACACACGGGCGCAAAGGTGATGACGCTTAACTCAATGTTGAATACACCCTTGACTGCACTGTTGGTTGCGCCTGAGAGTGGGTCTTGACGATGTTCTTTTCTGCGCTCAGTCCTCCGACAGTTTTGCCCTTCTCCAAGAAGCCCTCTAGCTGCTGCGAAATAGTGGCCTCAAAGTTTCCTTGGACAAGTGTCGTCTTCGCCTCTCGGCAATGAAGTTCTTAGGCTTTGTTATCTTAAGCAAAGGTGAGCAGCCTAACCCAGACAAAGCCGCCTCCACGTGCCGCATTCTACGTCCTCACAACCAAAAACAAGTCCTCTCATGGGTTGAGACGGCCAGCTACTACCGCCTCTTTATTAAGGAGTTTTCTAGGTTTGTAGCCCCACTACAAGCCCTGATTAAATTTCACCTTTGCGTGGACACCGAAGTGCGAGCAGGTGTCCCAGGCCATCCGCACGGCGCTCACACAGCCCCCTCTTCTCGCCTCCTTTGACCCGGATGCCACCACAACAGTAACCACTGATGCTTCAGGATCGGCAATTGGAGCTGTGCTATCACAAATCCAAGGCAACAGGGAAGTTGTCATTGCCTACGCAAGCCGTGTCCTCACGCCAGACGAGCGCAAACTCCACAGCAATGTGTGGGAATGCAATGCCGTGCATTCCCACACTGTGGGCAATCACAGTAAAGTTCCGTCAGTACCTGGTTGGCAAGGAATTCACCCTGATCACAGCCAACTGGACGGTGGTATGCTTGACTAAAAGTGTAAAGCCCTCTCGCCGGGTCACTTCTATGCTGATGGACTTGATAGAGTTCGAATTTATAGTGGAACATCGCCCGGGACGTCAGAACGTGGTTGCGGATCATTTGTCGCGCTTATCGTATACAGTCACCTCAGTCCCAATCTGCCATGCAGTCGGAAGACTCCGAGTGCAGTCAAATCCTCCAGACTCTACCCAAAGAAGAGTCCCAGGAGTTCATAGTGGTGGAGAACATCCTGTACTTCCGGTCATTGTCAGGAGCATTTGTCATTGTGGCTCCATCGGTGACGCGCCTAGCTATTTTTCAAGCACTGCACGAACTCAGCAGGCCGTTTTGGCACTGAACAGATGTTTCACAAAGTTCAAGAACGCTACTGGCAGCCCAACATGAAACAGATAGTACAAAGCTATGTTTCATCTTGTCAGACCTGCCAACAATACAATCGCCCGACTTCTCGCAACGTTGCTCTCCTCGGCAGGATGCCCACGTCGGACATCCCTTCCTCCATCGTCGCCATGGATTGTGTCACCATGCCTCCCAGTGAATCTTTCCGCTATATCATGAATATCATAGACTTTGCAACCCGCTTTATTGCCAATGGTGCATATTCGTCTATATCTCCAAGGGACATTATACATCATTTGCATCGAACATTCTACAATTATGGCACCCCAGACCATTGCGTTTCTGATCACGGATGGGCCTTCGAATAAGCAGAATACAAGCGTTTCATCCGTTTGCACAATGTCGAGCTCCACTACCTGACTGCTTACGGGCCGGAAGGCAATGGCCTCATCGAAAAAAGCAACGGGACGCTGCTGACGGTCTTACTTAAGATGTGCGCCTTGGAACCGTTGTCCTGGCCTGCCAAGCTTCCGGAGGCCGCCTTCACCATGAACACGTCAGAGAACGCCAGCATAAGCTTTTTGCTGCTCGGCTAAGTGCCGAAGATCCTACACCAGCAACATCGCCAACTCCAGCAGTATAGTCTCATTGAACGAATCATAGACGCAACAACCCAACGACAGGAGGCGGCAGCCAATTTAGAAACTGCGCGAGGGTTGCGGAGAGAGCGTTATGACAGCACCGACCACCCCCATGGCTTCACAGTGGGTGACCCCTCGTTTGGGTAAAGCGACAAACTCCGCTGCCTTAAAAGAAAATGGCCCCACTCTTCAACGGAGTGTACAGACTTGTTGAATAGTCCACGCCCACCATATTTAGGGCCCTTCGTGTGTCCGGCACGGGGCCACCAATCAACCTCAAACTGTGCACGTACCACAGATAAAGAGGTATGTCCCCCTGTCTCCCCATTGGTTATCCACACGCCGAGCCACACAGCAGTGCCGTCCACCACAGCTGCAGAGTTCCCCGTCAGCACTCCAACTGCCGGAGGGCCAGCACCCACTACGAGAGCCCCGTCGCCCTCTCCATTTACAAGATTACATCTTAGATTGATATCTCGGACGTAGTGTTTTCCAATGTGCCAGTGTCATCGAAAGTTTATAGAGCCAACAAAGAAACTTGATCTTCCCAAGCAGGGGTGGGATGTGAGAGCGCTCCCTTCTCGAACACATCAAATAAGTCACGTCGTGCACTGAGTGCATCACTCGTTCAGGAGCCACGTTGCCGTCTGAGCAAGCTACCTCAAAGCACGCGGAACAATTTGATCTCTCACCGCTGGCGAGCCAAGTCGTGCACAAAGACCAACACGGCCCATCCGTGTGTATTCGTTTTATCCTTTCTGAAACAGTTATTTCCCTAAAGTGCAAGTCTCCCTGACAAGCCTCACA